GAGGAAGAACTTCTTCCCTCTGAGGGTGACGGAGCCCTGGCCCAGGCTGCCCAGGGAGGCTGTGGAGTCTCCTTCTCTGGAGAGATTCCAGCCCCGCCTGGCCGCGGTGCTGTGCAGCCTGCTGTGGGTGACCCTGCTTGGGCAGGGGGTTGGGCTGGGGGACCCACAGAGGGCCCTTCCAACCCCCACCATTCTGTGATTCTGTGAAAACAAAAGCCAGTGTGGTTAAAGCAGTAGTGTTCTATTGGATGAGAACAAAACTCAGAATAACAAATAAAAGGAACAAAACTGCTTGAACGGAGTTTTATTTGACACAAACCTGTTGAGCGCTGAAATAAATTTTCTCTAGCCCTACAACACAGGCGACAGAAATTGCCCGAAATGTGGGAGAAGGGGGACAGAATCCCCCTCTGAGCAGCAGGGACAGACAGGGCAGGGCAAGCACAGCAGCGTGCACGGCGCTGGCATTTCCCTTCACTCCAGCGTCCTGGCGTAACGCGCAGCTACCGAGTCCTCAGGGCCTGGAGAGAAGCCCAAAGGGAGCTGGGTCTCAGCCGTGGACCTCGCTGCTGTGCTCCATGCTGGCTGGGGTGGCAGGGGACACGAGGGGGGGAATGCTCTGTGCTGGGGGACCCTGCTGAGCCCCAGCAGAACCACCACCCAGTCAGGTTTACCTTATAAACTGGAGAGGACTGGGCTGTCCCGACTGCTCCTCCTCCTCTCCAAATAAGAGGTCAAGGCAGGACTTGAGGCCTTCCAAGAAGACGAGCTGTCCCCGTTCTTTGGCAGCTGTCAGACTGACTCCCTGGAGAGGAAAAACATTACATTGCAGAGCCACCAGCTTGGGATCAACGGCGCACACGGAACAAAGCGGATCGACGGCCGGTTTTTATCAGGTCTTATCTAAACACGCTAATAAAGCCAATGCCTCAGTAACTCCCAGAATCACAGAAAGTTGGGGGCTGGAAGGGCCCTCTGTGGGTCACCCAGCCCAACCCCCTGCCCAAGCAGGGTCACCCACAGCAGGCTGCACAGCACCGCGGCCAGGCGGGGCTGGAATATCTCCAGAGAAGGAGACTCCACAGCCTCCCTGGGCAGCCTGGGCCAGGGCTCCGTCACCCTCAGAGGGAAGAAGTTCTTCCTCATCTTCAGCTGGAGCTTCCTCTGCTTCAGTTTGTGCCC